GAGCAGGAGGGGCCAGTAAGAGGCTGGGGGGGGCGGCGGCTTTCTGTACTTAATAACGAGAGCCTGAAACCTGTATCCCCACTGATGTACATCCACGCACAGACGAGGCTGTGATGCATCCCACCCAGTAGGGGGTGCCGCCCTGCCAGCACCCTGCCACTTCATACACCTTACATATGCGCAGGAGACCGGACTCTCAGCCTTCTATTCTATTCTATTCTTCCTTTAATGCAGCAGAGGCAGGGATAGAGAGGGCAGATGAGTGACCTCACCTTGTCTTCTCTTACATGAAGGAGGAGCTGTCCAGTGCTGTGATTGTTTGTAAACACTGTGAAGGAACGTAGGAAGGATGTGGCTTCTCCAACTGTGAGGGCAGAGCTTTGGTGTTGTGGTCAGCAGGGCAGGAGCCGGATCGGAATACGGTATTCAGCCAGGCACAAATAGCGGGTTTTTACAAATATTTGTTTTGTACTGATATTTTTTTAATCATTTGCCAAACCTGGGAAATTCAAATAGCCGGTGTTCCTCAAACTCTGAGCACCTTTTTGTGCTATTTGTGCTCTGCCTGCATTGTGCTGACGTGACGGAAGACAGTAGGAGAGTGGAGGCGAGAGAGTGCAGACTGATCAGAATTTTTGTTTATGTTGTATTTTGGCAGACAGTTTGTAAATGACATAATGTATCCTGTAATAACAAGGCTGGATCTGTCCATCCATCCATCCTTTTTCCGCCGCGTATCCGGGGTCGGGTCGCGGGGGTAGCAGTCTAAGCAGGGATGCCCGGACCTCCCTCTCCCCAGTCACCTCCTCCGAGAGACATAATCTCTCCCGTGTGTCCTGGGTCTGCCCCGGGGCCTCCTCCCGGTGGGACACACCTCCCCAGGGAGGCGTCCTAGACAGACGCCCGAAACACCTTCACTGGCTCCTTTTGATGTGGAGGAGCAGCTTCTCCCGAATTGGACCCCCTTTGCCCGTAGGCTTCACCTAGAAGTTCTGCCAATAAAAGTTACGAACAGAATCAGTGACAAGGCGCAGCTCTGGTGGAGTCCAACACCCACTGGGTCTTTCCGTTCGTAATAAAAATCGTGATCAAAACAGCTCACAGCAGACGTAGGTGGCTGTAATGCACCACGTGTAGCTGGTGTAAGCATAGCGACTGCCCTGCCAGCTGTATGATGGTGCGGTACATAGCCTGTCTAAGTTATAATACCCATAATGCACCACGTGTAGCTGGTGTAAGCATAGCGACTGCTCTGCCAGCTGTATGATGCATAATGTACAGGCAGGTGTACAGTGAATGTGATGTTTGCTCACCGCTGGACAGAACGTAACCCAGACGTGTGTGGAATTAAACTTGCGTTCTGCCAGATCTCTGAGTCAGGGGTTAATTAAGGTTTAGTTCCTGGCATACGGTGCTTGAGAGAGAACAGTTTGTATTCACTTTTTGTTCATTTTTTTTGTTTATACTGTCTGTTCAGCGTCCTCCAGTCAGAGAAGTGGATCACAGTGTTCGCAAGGGACTTAATTAGTTTGAAGTTTAGTTAATTGTTTTGAGTGTGGATCAGGAACTGAATGTCGTGTTTAAAATTATTTTCTTTCCAGTGATGTTTATGGTTATACATGTTCATTATAATAATTAAGAACACTTAAATGTAATATTGGTTTATGGTTTTTATACACCGTTTATATTAACACTTTAATAATTGAAGATTTGAAGTGTAGTAAAAACAAAAACTGGATTGTTACACCTATTTCTACTTTTTTTTAAATTCAAATACAAATACAAATAATTTTGCTGCTTCAATAAAGACAGATACAAATACAAATCCAGGCTCTCCTCAGGTTTGCTGTTGAACTGCATTAAATAAATTTGGCAATAAGAATATTAATGACCCTCATCCCAGACCTATAGTCCATTCAGGGAGACATGAGTCTTCAAACGCATCATCGCTGCCAGTAATATCTCACTCCTGCCACCATCCTGACCACCAAGACCCTGAGACCAATCGCTGACCTTCAGGACGCTCTCAGAAACTCCACGACAAAGAGTTTGTTCCGGATGCTGAGGCAGTCGATCCAGTGCTGTGTTAAAAGCACTCTTTAGCATTACTTAGCTGCAGGTAAAATCACCCGCAGAGCTCAGTGTAATCAAAGCATTAATTTTAGTTAGAACTGTACACCCCTTTCGGCGAGATGTGAACTTAGGGAAGACGCGCAGATATCTTCTCAGGTGCTGCTGGCCTCTTTGCCTCTAGCTGTTTTAACTGGAGATTAACACATTTTCTTCATTGTCTTTCAAAGTGCTCACTTCCACTGTTTGTCACGCTCGTCATGTTGGCCAGTGAGAAGGGTCGTGTTTGAAGCATTCGTAATTTTTTGGGGGGGGGGAGCCTCCGAGATGTGGGTGGCAGTTTTTTGAGTAATTTATTAGCTTTCCTTGTTTTGTTACCAAAAAATGAGGGAACTCACCCGCAAGGAATTCAGTAGGGCTGTCACAGCTCGAGGCTGCTCGTACCGGGCTGCTCGTACCTGGCTGCTCGTACCGGGCTGCTCGTACCTGGCTGCTCGTACCGGGCTGCTCCTCCCGCGCTGCTTGTACCTGGCTGCTCGTACTGGGCTGCTCGTACCTGGCTGCTCGTACCGGGTGGCTCGTACCTGGCTGCTCGTACCTGGCTGCTCATACCGGGCTGTTCGTACCGGGCTGTGTGTCGCCAGAGTGCATTATGGGAGTTCTTCCTGTCAGGTGAGCATCTGCCTGGAGTGTAACAGCAGCAAGCTGCGGGGCCTGAAGAGGAAGTGGATCCGCTGCTCCGCCCAGGCAACCGTCCTGCACCTCAAGAAGTTCATCGCCAAGAAGCTCAACCTCACCTCCTTCAACGAGGTACCCCCCCCCCCCGCCAAATCCCGTCCCATGTGTGTAAGCCTGGCTTTGTTCCAGACCACTGTCCATGCTCGTTAATCCTCATAACACCAAACTCGCTTGTCTATTAACATTAAAGTGGCCCATAGGAGCTGTCATTGTCGTGAGTTAAATATTGGATATCAAATATAGTTGTGTATTCTTGGTGCAAAATTTCTGATCTCAAATGATATAAATATGTTTTCCTTACACCAAGTATTGAAATTAATCATGTTGACATGTTATAAACTGATTGATATTTGTTTTCTTGGGAAGTTATTGTTTTATAGATATGTTTCGATGATTGATTACAAAGGTCTAGATACATCTCAAAGGGGCGGGGCTAATTTCCTCTTCTGGTTGGGACTGGATGAGGAAGAGGTGGAACCTTGAGTGATGACAAGGTCATTGGGTGTTTCTCAATATCAAGAACACAAAGATTGTAGATGTGGTCTTGACGAGACCGGCCTTGCAAACTTGCCTTCCAAAAACAAACTTTGGGCGCAATGAAATTTGGGATTGGTCTCGTTTGGCGAGGATGCAACCGATGTCCTGGGATTTTTACTGTCCTTCAGACTTCTGTTCTTGAGTATTGGAACTGGTTTTTGGCAATGGAAGATGGTGTTAAATGGGTGCACAGGAACACAAGTACGGTGAAGTACGCATATTGAGAAAAACTCATTGTGTTTTTATATCATGGAGTACAGAGCTACAGCTGTATTTTGTCAGTAAACAGATCAAGTGCAGGTGACATCCCATGATGTAAGTTAGTGAAATTACCAAATCACTACTACTATGACTGAATACCCCTCTCCTTTGACGTTTATGTGTGACTTGTAAAATTTAACGCGAAAGCTAATGTTCCAGGCCTGGTGTATTTGTGCCGAGGGACTATCTGTGTGTGTGACAAGGTATCGATCGGACGCGGAAGATCGCAGATAATCCGGATGGAGACTGATGTGCGCTGAAGAAGAAAACATTTCTTTCAAATGAGTCTGTTAGATAAGTGTGCTGAGGTCGTAGCTGACAGACCCCTGCAAAGCCTGGTGCTCGCAAACCGAATCAGCCAGTCTTACTTACGGGATCCATGCTTTCTCTCTCTCGCTTTCTCTCTCTTTCTTTTTCTCTCATCTTCTCTCTCTCTCTCTCTCTCGCGCTTTCTCTCACATTCTCTCTCTCTCTCTCTCTCTCTCTTTCGCTTTTTCTCTCTCGTTTTCTCTCCCTCAACAGCTCGACATTTTATGCAACGAGGAGATCCTAGGCAAGGACCACACGCTGAAATTTGTTGTCGTCACGAGGTGGAGATTTAAGGTGATTTCACTGGTTATATATGAAAGCATTCAGAGTAAGTCTGTGTAGCAGTACTGTCATAATACTGTCATGTCATGATGCTTGTTAGTCATACTAAGCAGTATTAAGCTCAAGGAAACAGGAGAAAAACTGAATCTGTTTATTTCAGACTCCACAGACAGATGGTCATATAGAATATTAGGGGGAAAACCCCTATATGATGTGCGTATGCGTGTGTATATGTGTGTAGTGATTGTACCCTGCTGGGAACTACGTGCTTATGCCTTGTTACCAAACTAATGCGATCATGTGACTCGTGTGACCTTTGCCTTCCTTTCTCATCCGTGTCTCTTCTCATTCTGTACTGTTTTTGCAGAAATCCCCGCTTCTGCTCCATTACAGACCTAAGATGGACCTCCTGTAGGATGCCCGGGGGGGGGGGGGGGCGCTTCTTACGCCTGGACTGTGCTGTTTATGCAGAGACTGTCATTCTCGCCCCCCTGCATCTGACGCACCAGTGAGGTGAAAACTAACGGCACTGAAAACTCGCCCAACCCCCCCCACCCGATCTGTCTGCCTCACCTGGGGTGACTGCGCCCGTGACTGGACCGTGACTGGACCACTCACACATAACGCACAGTTACAGGCCACCCAACGACATGAAGTATGTATTTATTCTCTCTGCACCGATGAGAGAATGGGGAGAGCCATTCAAAAACCTCCAGGAACCCTGTTTACACGTGATCAAGAAGTAGTCACATGATCAAGCCCCGCTGAGCGGTCACATGATCAAGCCCCGCTGAGCGGTCACATGATCATCCCCGCTGAGCGGTCACATGATCAAGCCCCGCTGGGCGGTCACATGATCAAGCCCCGCTGAGCGGTCACATGATCATCCGGCGGTCACATGATCAAGCCCCGCACATGAGCGATCCCTGCCACTCCCCTCTCCTCCCAGCTGCCCCCGCCCTGATGGGGTGTGGTCACATGGGGATGTGCCACATGGCCAGCTCGCCGTTCTCATTCACATCACCATAAGGTGCACATCTTCCATAGTTTCGTTCCAAGCACATCTTCCAAGCGCATCTTCCAAGCGTCTCTTTTGTCTAATTCATTGTCTGATCTCAACTGGGCAAATTATTTTTGGTGTGGTTTTGGTCAGTGGGTATGTATAAAGTCACTATGAGAGTTTCTTAAATTTTATAATGCTATAAATAGTCCTTAAAATGCTATAACTGGTCACTGCATAAAAGAAATTCTTAACAATAAATAAGAAATTACTAATTAAAAAATGATCACAAGTCAGAGTATGCCACAGCTCTTTACAGCATATGCCTGTGGACTGATAGCGTATACAGATAAAGGGGCAGTTCCCAGAATCCTCCGGTGCGAAGGTGATGATGTTGTTCTGCCGTCTCTCTGCCATTTCACTGCCGTCGTGGGTCAAATGTGTGGCGAGGGTTTTGGCCACAACGGCCGCCTTTCTTCAGCCACCAGAGACGGATATGATGTTTACTGACAGCTTAGAGCAGAAATCTGGCTGAAGCGTGTAGCAGTCAGCAGCCGTGGAAAGCCGGGGGCTGTTCGTGCTGTGCAGGGCCGACGCAGAGGCACTCAGCCTGGCCCCCTCTTCCCGTTTAAGGCCTCTCTGTTGCCCACCTCCCATGCAGAGCTCAGGGTCTCCTCTAGTGATGTTCTGGACCCGAGACTCGGTCCACTGTCACTCAAAAATGTCAGTGCTGAACTAACGACTCCAGAGGGACCTGAAGATTGTGAGAATCACCATCCACTCAATGTAACCTTATTTAGGAAGTGGTTTTAAATGTCTCTATTCCAGGGTGCTTGGCAAAAGATTAACATGAAATACTCACAGCACCACAAGAGTATGCAGTGTGTCTTTGAGCAAGGCTGCTTCACCTCACAGGATTCTGCTATGTTTTTTCTAGAAAAACGTATAATATTGACCAAAGGGAATTGTATATTTTTGTCTGAAGTTGAAAAATGTTAAATATCCATATTTAATTTAATTAGCTACTTCTATTAGAATGAAAAGTTAGTTTTTCCCCTACTATAGAATAGGAAATACAACAGAACATTAGCCTGAGTCCAAACTGTGAATGACCCAGTTACAGAGTTTCTATTGGCTAATTAGATGATAATAATATTTAATTATCTATCTCTTTGTCTTCTGGTTTGTTTGATGTTTGATTATGTGTGTGTGTGTGTGTGTGTGTGTGAGAGAGAGAGAGAGCCGGTGTACCTTACCGTATGGGGACACAATGTCCCCACAACGTGATGAATACCTGTTTTTTTCCCTTAAGTGAAAATAAGGGAAAACTCAATTTAATAAAAATCTGTGACTGCGATGAAAAAACTAAAAATGCAAAAACTCTTGTATTTTGCTTGGTTACTTATGGTTATAGTTAGGGCTGGGTGGGTGTTACGGTTGTCATAGTTAGCGTTAGCATTTTTCTCATAGAAATGAATGAACAGAAAGTGTGTGTGTGTGTGCGTGTGTGTGTGTGTGTGTTTGCCTGTTTCCCCTCTTTCAGTTCGCATTTCTTCTCATCCATTACTTTTTTTTTTTTGCATCCCCTCGCACGTACCAGCAAGGGGAGCTGGAAGTTATCGTCTCACTAATATCCTGAGAAATCCACTCGCTGGTAATATGTCGCGAGTCAGACAGACTGCTACCTCTTCTGTGTATTGTCACCCTGTAGGTCTGCCCGTCCAATCCACCACGACTGGGAGACTTCCGATCTCAAACTCATGATGGTGCAAACTGCATGCGTACGTTCCCACCCTTTGGTGACCTTCGTGTGGAACACCTCTCTAGTCTGCATCGTCTCCTGTAAATGGACAGCTTTCCTGCTATGTGCTGAGCTTCTGAGATGGAGAATCCAGTGAGGCCCTTTCTAGCCGTTTAGTCTCACAGAAGCCAAGATATCATCCAGCAGGTGAAAGGTGTAGAAATAGGCAAGGTTTTGGTTTCGTCCTCTTATTTTTCAGAGGTGACCTTTGTATTTACGATAGCCGTATCATTTGTTTGTGCTTTAAAGAGATATAGTGAATGTGTCTCAAGAGGTGACATCATTAAATAAAGTAAATATGTTTTTTAGTATATATACATATATATATATATATATATTTTGTAAATCCTCTGTTAAACCTGTTAAAGAACACGAGTGTAAAATCTATAGTCGAACTTTGGGTCAGATTTTGTGGTAAAACTTAGCCAGCGCTTGGCAGCTCCATTTTATCGCTAAAATTTTCAACGGTGCTAATGTTTGGCCTGCGTAACTGGCGCAGGACGTCTCCGGTGAGACCTAGCCGTCGAGGGTGCGGACGCCTCTCCTCACCCTCCAGGCCTTTTGTGCGGAAGCCACGTCCGTCCTTCGGCAAGTTGCATCTATCAGAGCTTTTCCTTAAATCTTTGCGGTTTTGAATGGAGACTCCATCTCTCCGGAACCTGGAACCAACAATTATGACACAGGAATAGGGGGGTCTGTTATTCGCTTCTTCGGAAACTCGTTTCAACTCGTGTTTTTTTTAAAAGGGGGCTCTGTCCTTCCTTTGTGAATTTTTATATACCTCTGTCCTGTCAGCGGCTTATTGTGTGTGGCGTTGCCTTCACTTTACGGAACAGCTACTGGTGCAATTTACTGTGGATTAAACAATGTACAATATGTATGGAATGACGTCACTCGTCATACCAAGGACTTGTTTAACGTATGGGGGCACCATGAGTTGCTCCATGCAGATGTTCACTAGTCCCTTGTAATAAACCACATCTGTCCTTCTCTGGAAGAGAGCTGCGGTTCTCCTATTGGTCAGTTCTCTTGGGTTTCGCTACCGTAGTTGTCTATGTTGCCATATTTGGTATTCTTGTAAGCTGTAAAATTAGCTACTGGGGGATCTTGGCCAATCAGGTTATCTGAGGATGTTGTGTTTGACCTTCATATGGTCCCAATTGTGTCACGGTGCTTCTGAGAAGATCTGAGTACACAGACTTCTGCTGTTCCGCTGGTGCTACATTTTTGGCAGATTTGGACACATCAAACCAGCATTGCTTTCGGTATTTTAGGGTTCACTGTTTCTGGCCTGGAGAACTTTGACGCCTTGCGCTCAGTGGAAGGCGACACGGTTCATGGGCCGTGAAGAGCCGGCGCAGAAGGCGCTCTGACAGAATAACCAAACAGCTATCAGCCAGGCAGGGAAGCTTTAACACATCACGAGCTCTCACTGCTGCAGGTGTCAGTGCAAGGTGCAGGGGCCAATATCGGCCATGACAGACTCCCACAGCCCAGCCCGCTATCAACCAAAAGGGTAGTGACTGGTTAGTCTGGATGCTGTACGGTCTGACTAGTGCCCCAGCAGTGTGAACATAAGGTTGCTCCTTCATCCCTCTTCAAAGAGCTCATCGGTATGTGTGTACTCAATTAATGGTTCACCTTTGTAATATTATGGGTTTTCAGGTTTATTTTTGTATTCGGAGGATTTAAAGCTTTGCGTTTGGGGTCAATTTGACCCCAGGGTAGGTGTGAGAGTTAATCATCGATAGGAACAAGGATCAGTTACACTACATTCTGCCTGCCTTGAAATAGGCTCACATTGGGCATATTTTTCTTGTTTTTGTTTAACGGTTCTGAAATTTTATTCAAGTAAATGTCTCGTTCTGCAAACTTTTAAAATCTGCGCATAAAGTCAGAAGAGCACTGCTGCTTCGTACGTCTTGCAAGGAAGAAATGTGCAATATTCACTTCTCAGAGGGTTCAAAGTTGAGACCAAGATGTTGTTGTTGTTTTTTTCTTGTTGTTTTTCCTCAGGTTACAATTAGCCGCCTTAGTCCTCTGTTGTACAGGCGACCGGGAGAATGAGATCACACTAATGCAGTCATGTATGAAATGGTCGATTTTTCTCTCCTCTTCTTCTTCCCTGTCAAATTGTGTTGTGATGAGATTAATATTAAAATTGGGCACTTATTCCAGTGGTCCTATTATTGTTTACTTTTCTATTGTGATTATTTATTGCACAAATGTTTTCATTACCGTGGAAAAAGATGGGGTTGAGTTTTATTATTTTTTTCTCCTGAATATTACTAAGAAAATGTTCTGTTGAGGAGTAAGAGGTGTCTTTCATCAATAAATAAATGCCTTTTAAATAGCCATTTCTCTGTGACTTTTTTTATTTAATATGATAATCCAACTATAATGACCAGAAGTTGAGATATTTGTATTTAATCCATTTATTTACTTTGTTTTTGATGTGTTTACATAAGACCATTGACAAAGGTGTGGCAGTGCCATGTCACGGTGGTTGGCACGGTTCCCTCACACCTCTGGCACCAGGGACTGAGTCTCCCCCGTGGCTCCATGTGTGTGGAGTTTGCATGTTCTCCCCGTGTCGCTGTGGGGTCTCTTCTGGGTTCCTCCAGTGTCCCCCCACAGTCCAAAAACATGCTGAGGTGAATTGGAGCTGCCAAACTGCCAGTATATGTGACTGGTGTGTGTGTCCAGTGAAGGGTTGCTGCCCCCTCTTAAGTTACCCCCTGTCTTGAACCCATAGCTTCCAGGATTGGCTCTGGACCCCACATGACCAACAGTTTACCTGTGAGAGCCACACGTTTTAGCTCATTTTGCCACCTCGTGCACCTGAACCGAAACCTCACCCCTCAGCAGACCCCACCCTTATCGATGGCAGACTTGTATCAGCAGCCAGGGTAGCATGTATGAACCCGTACCTTTTGTCTTATGTAGACTAAATAAGATTTAATGCCAGTATTATAACTCCCATGTGTTTGTTTCCCAGCCTCTGCTACGGACTGGCTGTCACCCTGTATTGGATGCGCTGTTATATAGGATGGAGAGTTTTTTTATATCTTTTCCCAGCATTTCATCCAACCCCCCAATGATTTCATAATTTCTAATTCCACAGCAGGCTGTGCCCCTCGCTTCAGCATAACCCACCTAGATGCATGCCGTGTCACTTCCTGTCGCTGATTCGCACCCGGCGCGGACCGCGTGATATCGCTCAGGTGAGATGGCTTTTGTTCTTTTTTCGCCTCCCACCCATTTTCCAAAACCGGCAAAGCAAATGCCGCACGGTTCAGTGTTTACTCAGGGGCTCCACAAATTAACAGGGCTTGAAGGATTTACCGCGGTTATCACTCACTGAGGGACCGAGCGGATTTCACGTCTCTCTCCGCAAATGTTAGAGGAAAGGCATCAGTTGCTGCAAACAGGAAATGTAATTAAGACTATGGTCATGTCTAATCGAATAATGTAGGTAATTAGCCACCCAAGAAGAATTATCATTAAAGTTATTTGTTACTTTAATTAAATATTTGCACCACTTCAAAGCCAGCATTGATTTTTCTCGAGCTCAGCCAGTTTATGATGGCAAAAGGGACTTTCAGGGAGTGTTTGTCAGCATCTATGACTGAAGTTTTATATTTAAACATTTAAAGTCTTGAAAAAATACCTTCACAAGGAATTTTTCCATTTCTAGAAAAATATATGAATGCGCAGCTCATATCTAATAAAGATGCCTTCAGTAACCTGCTGTGGCCATAGCGTTTAGTCCAGGCCCTCGGTGGACGCTGCAGTCCCCACTGAGGAGTGTGAGAAGCCCGTCGTTTGTGCTGAATCGATGCTGCTGTTTGGAAGATGCCTGCGGTCTCCAGCCATGGTGAAGATCTTTAGCGGCAAATTGTGACAGAAGCCAGTATTAAGGAGCTGCCTGGGGAGATTCATTGGGAGATACGTGACTGATTGCATTTGAAGGTTGAAGGTTTGTACAGAAATGCGACATTTACCAATCGCGCATACTAATAACATGGCTGCAGAGAAAAGATTCACGTGAAAGAGAGCAGAGAGACTGGAGCATCTGTTTGTATTTTAGGGACTTACGTGGGATGGATGGATGGATGGATGGAGTTTTTCTAAATTTGAACTGACCCCAGCTCCTTCCTTCCCTAAATCTAACTATTGTGGCAGCGTGAAATATTAACATTGTTTCAGTCCCTTCGGATCACGCGTTCAGGCATGAACAGCTTCTCTCTATCCAAATGCAACCAGGCTTTAATGTCCCTGTTGGTAAAACGTACCGGTCAGCCGACGCAAAACTAAATTACAGGAATTTCATGAGGAAGAGGCAGCCCAGCGGACGACATCGTTAAAGGCACCGTCTTTCAGCAGGGCCCCGTTATCGCGGCGTCGGGGGGGCTGTTCTGTGGGGGTTAACAGCGGAAACATGAGGCC